GGCAGTGACCGGTAGCCTATACAGGGTGTGGGAAGGTGCAACACCTACCTAGGCGAGATGGCAGTTAGCCTCATAGATTTTGATGGCGACCTGTCGACGTACGACTCGTCAGACAGCAACTTCCAGCACAACGAGTCGGAACTTCTGAAAGCTGAGAACCAGCGCCTTCAGCAGCAAGTGAGAGAACTACTAGCAAGATTTGACACGAGTCAAGGGGAACCAGACTTGTCGATTGCAACCTTGGGGCCAAAGGTTCGACCCACCCCTAAACCGAGAAGAAGTTTTCTGGTAGCTGCGCCTCCGCCTACACCGGCGCCTACACAACCCTCCACTTCGACGCCTACTGCTAACGACAGCGAGAGGTGGACACCCACTGGCAGAGAGACGTCACCATCGAGAGTGACTGAACGCTGGTCAATGTACATGAGTCAGGGTACCCAGTGCGGATATGGCCTGTTGGAGTCACTCAGTACCGAAGAGAAAGTGAAGGCAAAGGTGGAGACGGGAAGCTGTGCGACAACAGGTAGCGGGAAACGGCCGAACATCCTGCCAGACAAATTCAACGGAAAAACTCCATGGCGAGAGTATAAGCAGCACATTGCAGCATGCAAGTTGGCCAACAGATGGACTGACAAGGAGGCGAAGGTTTTCCTAGCAGCAAGCCTGCATGATTTTGGGGAACCTGGCCACCAGCGGAAAAGAAGTCACCTATAAGGAGCTGCTTGGCCTCCTTGAGAAACGGTTTGGGCCTGGGCAACTGGCGGAGAACCACCTAATGGAACTTCGCCACAGGCGTCAGGGAGAAAAGGAGACGCTGCAAGAGCTGGGGCAGTCCATACGTGATCTGACGGCGCTGGCTTATCCGGAGTTGACAGAAGAGGGCCGTGATCGATTAGTGCGAGGGCACTTCTCCGATGCGATACGGGAGCAGGCCATCCGTGAAGGAGTATTCAGGGCCAAACCGTCGTCCTTGGATGAAGCCATCCGCGCCGCCTTGAGTACAGAGGGTTTCCTCAAGATCGAGGAGCAACGTTGCGACAAGCGGACGAAGTTTGCCAGACGGGTGGATGGAGCACCAAGCGATTCACTGCAAGCAGTTAGACACGAGTTTGAGGAAAGATGTGGCG